AAATTCAGCGACTCAGCGCTTCGCATATTTATCATTAAATTTTTGCTGTCTGCTCCAAGTTTTGCAAGGTTTAATGTTTTTTTTTTTTTTTTTTTTTTTTTTCAATTATTGCTGAACAACTTGGGAAATATTAACTTTCTTGAAATATTTAATTTGTTTTTAGAAAATCTTTTTACATTTGAAAAATGATTAAATGCACTTCCTATATGTTAACAGCTTAAACTTTATAAGTTTATTCTTGGCTTGTTGTTTTGTTGATAAGCAATTGAGGCCAATGGAGAGGGGATATATATAAAAGTATATATATAAGATAATGCATATGTAAATGTCTGTTACAGGGCGGCATTTATTTTTGTATTAATTTATCAAACGTCTGGCTTTGACTAACGTCGATTTACAATGCAAATGAAGCCTGGCTTTAGTAAAGTTCTTTAGGCGTTTCTCCTTTAATTAGTCCCGCATCTGAGACGCTCTTAAATTGATGATTCTACAGGTCTCTTAGCTATTATAATTCTATTGTTTATCATCGTTAAAGACATACTCTAACAATTCCATATTGCAATTTCTTAGCAGTTTAATACGAATTTTCAGACTTGATGCATAATCAACGATATCAAAGCCGCAAACCAGTTTTAAATGGAGCAATAAAAAATTATTTTTCTTAGAAAATATTGCAAAGCACTTAAACTGGGCCCCTAAATGAGAAATATTTTGTATGCTAATATATTTTGATCACATGAAAATATTAACTAATCCATAAGCTGGCTTTAAAAGTGGCAGCAAGCCAACTTGTTGTAGAGAAAGCTTTTTGGCTACCAGCCCCGTTTTTAGAAGAGTATGTGAGCAGTCCATAGACTGTCGCAGTTATTCCATTCAGTCAAAGTGCGCGCTCAGTTACGGCACATGAGTTATGCTAATTATAATAATTCGTATTGGAGAGTCTGCTAAATGCATTCCGAGAACTTGGCTGGCCACTTGAAAAGCTTTGCAAACAATTTTACGACATGAGCAAAGCTCAAATGTATTCTTTATATACATATACATATGCATATATTGTATTGATATACAATGTTTTCAAACATACAGCACGAAATCAAGGTCGAACGTCACGACATCGTGGCGTCATAATTTATTGATTGACAGGGAACATTTGATAATTGTCACTATCATCCAGGTTGAAGTGGAGCTAACAAACAAACTCTTTCATGCCAAGGCAGTTCCTTAAATCAAGCCTGGAGGGCTTAGACACATCTGCCAGCCAATCGAATGTGTGTGTGTGTGTGTGTGTGGTGGGGGAGGGGGGTATTAGGTGCTCGCTCCCGTTAAAGTTGGCACAGAGCGCACTTTTCAGATAACAATGGCGCAACACAACAACTACAACTACATCAAGAACAGCTCACACAGACACACACATACACACATGTTTGCTCGCGCGCACCGAGACATCGCCTCGTTGTCTCTGAGCTGCTCACTAATACAAACAAAGCGGCTTTGAAGCGGCTGCGGCCATCGCTGGCTGCGTGTGTATTTGTGTGTGTCTGCGTCTGTGTGTTGATCGTCAAATATATAAAATAAGGAACAACAACAACAGCAACAACACTGCAATTACCAAGTCTCGCTTGTCTGTTTCATGTGTGTTAACAATTATCATTGAATGGGAATTGCTGGGCGCAAATGAATTGCGTTTTTTTATTCCCCTGCTCATTTATATATTGTTCTCTAGAGTTTATTAGCTATGGGCATTTTTCGTCTGACATGAAGAGATTTACCAATTGATATATATAATTTTTGCTCTATATTTACAGAATCATTCGATATGGCCCTTCATGGCATAGCTTTCCCGGTTAGCTCACATTTTTCCTTTTGGTTTCTGAAGCCATTGAAAATGGGAAATCAAAGTTTTGAAGGTGGGGCAAAGCCCAGTAAACAATTTATTTGATTGATCTGGATAACGAGTGAAGTTGTCGCGAAATTTTACCGAATTCCCATCTGAATGCCAGTTGCAAATATATCCAATATGTGCATGAGTTGGCATTTTTTTAAAATATTAAATATTCAAAATAATATATAGGAAATTTCGTTAAATTTTGTAAAGTATCAAACATAAATTTTGGCAAATCACGACCTCCAGGGAGAAATTACAATTTTATAATGCGTAAATTCAATTAGCTTTATCCAAAGGCTGAGCAAATAAAAATAAATATGTGAATTTCAGCATGTGGAGATTATTGAAATGAGATTTTTAAAGTCGATAACTTTACATAATTTTGAAAGATTTTTCATTTAATGTAGTAGATTGTCAGCTCTCAGGGGTTTCAGGGCATTTCCTAGTCGAATAGCCTCGACTAGAGCATTATTACTTGCTTTAAAATACGATTTGGTTTATTTATTGCGATGAGGTTTTATCTTTATTATTTATATGCATATTGCTTCATCAATGTCAATATATATATACTTTTATAGATAATATATCTCTTATATATTCAACACTCATATATGAATATTCTTTGTACTATTCAAGCTTAAGTTTTAGCTTTTTTTGCTTCACTCATAAATATTTATTATACATATATAACATTATTGTATTTTATTTTATTTTATTTTCAACACTCATATATGAATATTCTTTGTACTATTCAAGCTTAAGTTTTAGCTTTTTTTGCTTCACTCATAAATATTTATTATACATATATAACATTATTG